TACAGCCTCATGTTTTAGGTAAGATGCTGTTTCTAAATCCCACCTCTTTCCACCCAGTCACACACCTGAATTCTGGTGTAACGTAAAATCCATTTTCAAAGAGGTATGCCCTGAAAGGGAGGCAGTCTTGGGAGTATTTTTTTTTTCCTGTTGCTCTTGCTAAAGTACAGCTAATGGAATGAATGTATTTAATCTACCATTTTACAGGAGGGTGTTGGGGCAGCCCAGGGCCGTTATCATGTAAGTGGTTATGTCCGCAGCATGTGAGTGTAAACCGACTCCCAAAATTGCAAAATGCAGATGAAAAGCTACTCATTTCTGTCCTCTGCCAGATGGTTTGATCAGAAGCACAGAGATGCCCATGGTACAGCTGGTTTTATTTTGAGCTAGGACAGACTAGAGTGATATAAAAAGGGAAGTTTATATAAGCAGATTGCACAGCAGTAACTCGCATCAGGAGGTTGTTTTTCATAGACCCTGTGAACTCTGTAAGAGCGTATTGTTTTTTTTCAAATGCAGTATATTCTTTTCCCAGTGGATTGCAGTCAGTAGCGTTCACCTGCTGCCTAAAGAAATCAGTAATGCGCAGTAATGTTTCAGATAATCACTTGATTTATCTGGTCCTGTTCATTTTCAGTTTGTTCCTCTGCAGTTCTTGCTATTGCGAGACATTTTTTTTCAAGCACTGAGTGTTGTTTTGGTAGGGTGCGTAAATTGCATTAGGTCTTAGGCTTCTTTCCTGCCTGCACTGGAACATGGGAAGAGAGCCTGACGTTGTGTCTCCTTACGGCTGAGGTGCTGTAGAGGACAGTGGAATGAAACCACTGTTAAGAAACTCCGAAGTACCCTCCCAGCGTGAACTTGGCTGCTGCTTCATGAAAGAGACTTAAGCTGGGTAAAAGCAGTTTTTCTATCAAGGGAAAAACATGAAATGGATACGATATATAGGAAATTCTGTGCTAAAAATATCATGCTGGTCAAGACTGTTTGGAGCTTAGCAGGCTAGTCTGTAAAGGATAAATTCCTATCGGCTGCAGTTCGGTTCTACCTTCTGGAAGTTGGCTGGTGTTACCGATGTAGTGGGCTCTTTGCTGCGCCATCCATGGGCTTCTGCTTCTGAAGAGTTCAAAATGCGTTTGATAGAAAATGATGTTAATGAACCATACCGTTGATCACAAAATGGTTAATGAATACAACTTTGAATTTATATTGGAGGAAATATAATGGAAGAATGTATAAAGTGATGAAGAATGAAAAATTCACAGAACATCGCTAACTGAAAGCTGTTGCACACAGAAGTGAGAACATAGCCGCTTCAGTGTATTGCGAATAAAGATGGTTCTCTGCCAGGGTTGCACACAAAACATCTGTACATTTCTATGTTTAATTGTTCATAAACAAGTTGTCACAATTGAAACAATGTGAGTCCTAATGGTTTAGCGTTACTGCTCGTCTAATCCCGTTACACGAAGAGTGTCTGCCCATTCAGAACGAGCAGTGCTCTCTTCAGTGCCCTTCGGTGATCACGCCTTCCTTACAGGTTCTCTTGTATTCTACCTGTGCTTCTGTCGGGTATTGCAGCACGGTGTCTTTTGCAGGAGGGATTTTTTTTTTTTTTTAAGTTACTCTCACCAGGTTTAGAAAAGCAAGATTCCAATCTAACTTGCTTACTGGAAAATTAAAAGGTTCCTTCTCCCTCCTCCATGCCCAGCATCAAAAATAAGATGCATCTTAGTGCAGTAAAAATACAATGATCACTGTGGTACTGTTTATTATTCACATTATTCACGTTTTGCAAATGATGTAGCTTTTTTTGTCTGACACTGCCATGAAGTGCTGTTAACTTTTTTCACCTGTTTATACAAGATAATACAGATACCGATCACTGTGTGTGACAGGATTCAACTGCTCCGCTTTGCCTTGACATAAAATTTGGGGACCAAAGGTACTTAAAACTGGGATTTCCAAACCGTGAGTCAGGTGTTGGGTGCGTTCTCTTGATAGTCAGCTGGAGATTTTGTGATGAGCTGATACAATCACACAGAATAATTACACATCTGGGGTACTGTATTGTTTGGAAATACTGGAGCCATATGAAATAAAGGATTATTTTGCAAAATTGCATATTTGATAGTTTTTACACTTTTCTAAAAAACAAACAAAAAAAAAAAAAACAAAAAACAATTGGAAGAGCAAAATTGAAACCATACCCTGGTTTAAAATGTCTGCATACATCATGAACACTTCTGAGCAGCTTTATTTTTTCTGTAAAAACTCTAGACTACCTGGCTGTGATACAATAGAAGTCTTTAAAAGGATTCTATGCATTTTAAAGTTAAACCTTTTATTTTATCATTGGATAATGAAGTAACAACTATCCTATTAAAGCGAGTTAGTTCCTTAAAATTACTCTACAATGGTGTTCATTTTGTATGATAAAAAATAGTTTTCTTGATACCAGTTTATTTTCACCTGCAATTTTCTCCTTCCTTCCTGTTACCTGCATTTTTGTTTTGTATGATAAAATGGATGCAGAAGCCCGTAGTGACACTCGGTGATTTTGCAAAGAGCTGGTCATGTTTGGAATTATTTTCTTGAATTTATTTCATTGGATTTTTTTTTAATCGAATCTTTCCAGCATCCAAGATGTCATTCAGAAATGTAGACAGATACCAGAAGCAGCACTTCTCTACAAAGTTCATTAGGTGTCTCTTCCCTTTTTTTTTTCTTTTGTGTGGCAAAAATAAAGTTGATTTCTTTCAAGATTATTTCATGCACTTCTAATCCTTAATAGATGAGATTATGTTCTTTGGTTGTATTTATTGTGCTTGTATCTAATAGATACACAATCTCCATTGTGCTTACCATAAACACAACAAATAGCAAAATAACACTTCAGTTCACTGTACAGCTGCAGCATTAATTTGTGATAATGTTGTTTATTAGAGCTCTCATCGGGAAGGACACAGAGAGAAACGAAGTGGTAAGGGGAGGAGTGCAGCAGTAGGGAGGAGGGGGGGAAAGCAGCTTCTGCAGCCCTTGCTCACTCCAGCACTGGAAGCTTTGCCAGCGCTCAGGCTGCAGAGTTTCTCCGCAGGTCACTGCGCAGCGATGAGTCCTCTTGAAGTTTCTGGGAGTTGAGGGCACACCAAGTGCAGAACCTGGGCCCTCATCAACACTGGATTGCCACTATCCTAGAAAGATGGGGATCCAACCTTTTTGTGAGCAAGGCTGTAATCATTTTGTAGATGTATATATTTTTTTAACAGTCAGCTAGGCAAAGCAGTATCGAGTGGAACAGCGCCGCTCATTCCGTGGCCCTGGCATCTCTCGCGAATGATAGCTCTTCGCTCCCTGTCACCTTTTGCATTAACTGCTGGTGCGCAATACTGCAATGTCTAACAAAGGAAAAAGGAACTCCTTGGAGCATAGTAAGACATCTTGCACAATTTCCAAAACAGCACCCTGGTCGTACTTATGTCTACCTCTTTGTTTCCCTCTGGCTTTTCTCTTGTTTTTCTGCGTGGTGGTCTTCTGTGAGGGGTGGGGGGAATCAGGGAGGGGGAAGTGGGAGGGAAAACTTGAACTCTGAATATGAAGACGCTGAGGGGGGATCCAGTGCTTACCAGCCGTGTTGTCATATTGAAAAAGCCATTGTTTTTAATTCCAGCCTAGTATGAAATGTTTGTTTTAAAAAAATCCTTCCTGCTGGAAAGAAAAATGTATTTTTAAAAAGAAAAAACATCCCTCTTTTGGCTATGAGAATGTCAGCTGTATGAGTTGTGACCATATCATGATGTGCCGATCAGCTATAAATAAATTTTTATTTCTCAGGACTCCGTCTTGTATTTTTACTCTTCTGGTAACTGTCACAGGTTTTCTGCCAGGCTGCTCTGCATTTTTAAATATCACTAATTTCAGCTGAGGCAGCAAATAAAAAAGATGTGTGAATGTCATGTGTGCTCACTCCAGTTTACAAAGAAACATCTCTTCTTGATTTAAAAAAAAAAAAAAAAACCTGCCCTGTGAAATGTACAGAAAGGCTTGCTGCAGGTTAGCTCGGGGCACAGGGGAATTGCTGCAGGTAGGTTCCAGTTCCAGGTGTTTCTGTCCCTCCTCCTCCACCCACCTCTCTTGAGAGCTGCTGTGAGCTTCGAATATACTACAAAATCATGCGCTTAGCCCATGGGGTACGCAGAGAGAGTACCTAACTTTCCAGCTGATTGTAAGTGGGCGGCTGCTTTTAAAGAAGTTGCAGAGGAATGGGCAGAGCTGTACGAATGGACCAGGAGTCTG